TCCTCTTCTGTCTTCTTATTTCGTATACAGCTAGCTAGCTATAGACTGAGAAAGGACTTTGGTCTTTGAACAAAAAATTACGCTGACTGCTCTTGCTCAGCTTCACAATTTATTAGTAACACTTGATGTTTCGGTCCTCCTGGACGTTCGTCGTTCAACACCATTATTTGCAACATTGAGCTAAATAGAAAGAAGAAATAGAAGAAAGATGCAGATTGGGGATAGGTTAACTGGTGACTCTAAATTGTCCATAGGTGTGAATGTGAGTGTGAATGGTTGTCTGTCTCTACATGTCAGCCCTGCGATAGTCTGGCGACCTGTCCAGAGTGTACCTTGAATCTTGCCCAATGTCAGCCGGAATAGGCTCCAGCACCCCTGTGACCCTCAAGAGGATAAACGGTGTGGGTGTTTCTCAATAACTGACAACAACCTGATCACCATATGACACATATCCCACAAACAAACGAACAAGGGAACATGAAAAACCTCAGGAAAAACTTAGAAACCTCTGGCTCCTTACACAATAAAGGCTATTTACAAGATTAATTACAAAAAATGCTGCTCTTATGAATGAATGCATCAGCCTCATAAATCATTCAGAATGTTCAACATTGCATACATTTGGGCGGCAGTAGCTCAGTCCATAGGGACTTGGGTTGGGAACATGAGGGTCGCCTGTTCAAGTCCCCGTCTGGACCAAATATGGAGCGTGGACTTGTGGCTGGAGAGGTGCCAGTTCACCTCCTGGGCACTGCTGAGGTGCCCTTGAGCAAGGCACTGAACCCCCCAACCGCTCGGGGCGCCTGACCAAGGGCAGCCCCCTCACTCTGACATCTCTCCACTTAGTGCATGTAGAGGTCCTGTTTGTGTGTGTGTGTGTGTGTGTGTCTTTCGGACCTGTGTGTTAATGACAACGGAGTGAAAAAATTGAATTTCGCCTCAGGGGGATTAATAAAGTATATATATGTATTATAAAAAAAAATAATAATAAAATATGGCATGTATTATAAATTTTGAGATCCCTACAACCATGATAGCATGACATGCCATGGTATCTCATCAGTTAATCCTTTAGGAGATAGAGTTTGCAGATTAACTAGTACTACTTCAATGTCACCACCTCTCTCTGGCAAAGTAACTTTTGCCCTGGGACCTAAATGATGAGATATCATATTTGGAGTCACTGAAATGTACTACTACTGGATAATCTGTATTATTTCCCCTTGTGGAGCTCTCGTGTTCACTTCGGGTCCGTACACATGCCGCGTTTTTTGTGTGTTCAACTTCTGAAACAGAGCAGCGCACACCGCATGTCATGGGACGAGGGACAACCATATATCTTTCATCTCCTCTGTAGATATCAGTCAGTGGTAAATATGGAAAAGAAGATCATTTTGGTGCAGGACTGTCAGAGCTTTTCAACTGTCCCATGGACAATATGCCCACACACAAACAGCGTCTGGAAGAAGATGAGCTCTGCACTCAGGATTTCAGGTAAATAGGCTATGATACAGTGCTTGTTATGGTTGGCCCCTTATGCTCTACTTTAGGGGCCGTACAAATGCTGCGTTTTTTGTGCCCTCAAATTCATTGCTTTCAATGTAGCCACATGGCAGGCACACTCAAACGCAAGAGTGACACCGTTGTGGCAAGCTCGCATTCCCAAGCGCCTATTTTCAAGGTGCAATGGCTGGGCCCCAAGATAACTTAAATTTAACTTTTGGAACATAGCAGCGCGCACCACGTGTCATGTGACGAGAAACAACCAATCACAGCCGACAGATATCTTTCCCTTCTTCTGTAAATATTCAGGACTGTCAGAGCTTTATTTCTGTCCCACAGATGATAGTCCTTCACACTTATTAACAGCTCCTGGAAGAAGATCAGCTTTGCTCTCAGGATTTCAGGTGAATAGGCTACAATACAGACCTTGTTAAAGTTGCTTAGCAACCTCTGATGCAACCTGCTGCCGTTCTCTTCAAAGCTGGCTCAGAAAAAGCACAAAAGTAGCACCCAGGGCCTGACCTCACGTTTTCCAGGCGGTTAAAGGTGTGCCGAAGTGCATGTGATGTTTTACCAACATAGGATAACCCACAAAGACATCTTTGACACTGTTGATGAAATACTTTCTACCAGTGTGTGGATGAGTAAAATAATTCATTTTGACCACACCGTTACTCTGAGCGCATGCTCTGCATTTGTAACACCCATTTGGAAGAGGTTTATATGAAAACAACGGCTATTCCATTTGCTCTTATTGGCTGTCTTGCATGACAGATGCTTTAGTGCTTTAAGCACTATGTGAATTTTAACTGGATTATGCAAACTGTAAATATTCTCCTGACTTAGCCCTGCTGCATCACTGCACCTATGCTGAAAAATTAGGAAACACAGTCACCCCAGAGGAGTCCTAAAGCGGTTTACATCGTATTGGAAGTGCTGTAAATAGCTCATAAAACTTTTTGTCATGACGGCCAATATAGATGGCGAGTCTACATGTAATTACCAGTCCGAGTGCATTTGCAGTAAAAGAATATCTAAGAACAAGGTAAAAATGGAAAACAGGAGGATAGATAGCTGAATAGGATGCATTAAGACATCAACACATACAGGCATGCCAGCTGTGTGGATGGTCAGCGCGACTCTCCTCTCAGTCTGGTGTTGCTATGCTAATCTCTTCTTATGTCAGTTAGGATTACAGCAATCAGGCCTCACAATTTAAAACTTTGTTGAAAAGCAGACATGGCAAACATTATGATGGGTTTCTGTCTCTGAGCAGTAATCTATAGGCTGGAGATAAGAGGGCGATTTAACCACACAGACCGACTTGTCTGTGTACATTTCACCTTAGTGAAAGATTTAGTGGCCTTCCTCGCAGCCAACATGAGCCTCAATTTACTTGTGACGAAAGTAACGATTAAACTCTTCAATTAAAATGTGATCCCTCCACAAATAACCTCCTCTGAACTTCACAAAAATGATGTTCATATACACAAACAAGCCGGCACTGAAACACACTTGTGAGCGGGCTCTGGGATTGTGTGTTTGTTTTTATTCCTTTGCACGGTCTAAATGGCAGATCCATCAAACCAGGAGCCACTAATTAGCTAAGAAGGTCTTAAACAGTTTCAGCTCAGGAGACAAAAATATGCTGAAGATATTTCCTTTGGTGTTCACATAAAAGGTGTCTGAAAACTCTGGCAGCCTTATTTTTGTTTGGATGGCAGGAGAGAGGAGAAAGGAAAAATAGCTATTTTCTCAAATATTCAAATGAGGAGTTGTAGTCAAACAAATGTCCAGCATCCAATACTATCATTTCTCTCTAACTCCAGAATGCATCTGCAAAACAACCATTTGACTCACAACATCAAGGTCTGGGGATAGTTGGGTGTTTAGGAAAATGCGCTCATTAGCTTTCTTGCAGCATTTGATGAGAAGATGAATACCACTCTCTGATCACCCATTTTAAATTACAGCTACAGCCAGCAGCTGTTAGCTTAGCTTTAGCATTAACACTGGTTACAAGGGAAACCGTTAGCCTGGCTCTGTCCAAAGGAAACAAATCTGCCTAGCAGCTCCTCTAAAGCTCACAAAATAACATGTTACAAGTGTCAAAACAAGATTTCTTTGGATTTATAGGGTATTGTGTGAGTGACTTCCTGCCAAGAAATCAGGACTGACCCAACAGTGCTTCTGTGGAAACACTGCGCCAACCCTCCAGTCTTACCCCATGTCGCCCCAGTGAGTAAGTGGCTCAACTTTAAGCCGCAAACCCCCTTTAGCATTGTTAACTATGTTATCACTGTCTGCCTTGTTAGCGCCATTAGCAGTTCTTTAGCGCTTCGCTTAACTGAACGGGGTTAAAATTATTTATTCTTGCAGTTCTTCTACACTTTCCAAATGTTATGGCTTCGTATCCGCTGCTTTACAGATGTCTCTTTTCCAATGTAAGTCAATTGGAAAAAGTCTTTCTGGGCCCAATGACATCACGTGATGGACCTGGGAGTTGTAATTCCATTGTTTGGCCACTAGGAACATTGGCTTTAAAGCACACTGCACTTCCTGGGGGCCTGGGTAGACCAGAGGGTGGCCACCATTTTCCCACAGCAACGCCGTCCCGCCAGCATTAACATCAGTAATCAGCAGGAATGAGCAGCGCCACTAGCTAGCTCCCACCTGACTTGGGTGGTGCGCAGTACAGAGCAGCCAAGACTAACATGAGCTATCCAGTGGAGACCAGGGGTTGGGCAATGGGCACCATGTTTCTGCATGTTAATGTGGTAGCTACTTAAAAATAAAATGAAAGGCAAGACATTAACATCAGATTATATTAAAATTTCACCACTTCTAAATAAAAAGCTCGCTGCGTCAACAGAGCTCTGGACTATAGCGAAAGGCCTCTTTTATTCATGTCATTTTGTGTTTCTTTTTCCCTTACCAGTTAGTTACTGGTTAATGGGTGTCAGGCTAATGCGAGCAAAATTAACCGAAAGTGACTAAATAAAACATGTTAATTAGTGAGTAGTAGAGGTGCTGGTGAGCAGGTTGTGTTTCCTTTGGATAGAGCCAGGCTTGCTGTATCCCACTGTTTCCAGTCTTCCAGGCTAAGCTAAGATAATCGGCTGTTGGCTCTCTTCACATTCAAAATTCAGTAACACAAGCAAGCACACATATCTCGTCGTTGTTCATGCTCATACACAGTGAGTTAGTTTAAATTGAATGACCTAAAGTCTTATCTTCTGGGACAGGGATCCAACCATGACACAGTTGGCACCTGCCTGATGAATATTAATGAGTGCAGGTTACACACCATGCCAATCAGCATCTGCTGAAAAGGTCAAAATCATCTAACAGTGTTTGTTTACAGTACGAGGTGATGACTATCTTAAAAACTGAATTTTTTACAAAAGTGCTTACTGGTCACAGCTTGAATTAGAGAGCTCTATTTAAATCCACTTTTCCAGCACAGAATAAAGAAGCAAAACAGCTGAATACTTTACCGTTGGGGCTTTCTTCATCTATGGCAACAATGGTGGCAGGAGGACCCGACCGGGACAGTTTACATTCTGAAAGAAAATGGAAAAGAAAAGGTACATTTAAGGTTAACACTATTATCTTGTAATGTTTCACTTCTTTATATCTATTATAGAAAAGCATGAAGTGTTCAAATTCAATTGTGAAGCACATGGATAACTTCATTTGATAAATGTTAGTATTTAAAAGGAAAATGTCTTAAAATGGTTTGTAAGTTTTTTGTCCTTTAAAAATAAGTGGCTGCTGCAATCACTCTGTCAGTGAAGAGTGCCTCTCTTTGAAATCGAATTGGACCCTGCACAGCACAGCGCTGGATACGCAGAGGGAGTGTGGTTATAAGTGGCAACAACAAGGGGCTGAAAGGAGTGAAGGTGAACACAGGGAGGGAGCAGAGAAAAGGACTGAGTTGTAAGGGGTTAGCAGACGGGAGTGAAAAAGAGGAGATAAAAAGGAGATCAGATGGAATAATAATAGACAGGGAGACCATAGACATATATTTGCAGACACCACATTGACTGTGTCAGCTCGTTACAGCGATACATTAATGTCGCTGCTATATTGGAGAGGGCAAAACTTACCTGTAAACAAATGCCAGTAATAAGGGGGAGCAGTTTTTCCTGGATAAAAAGCAGTGTAGCTATAACATTTCTCCAACAAATTCAGTGAGTCATTTTTGTATGCAAGGCTTTATGATCTATAGCAAAAGAAAAAAAGAAAAAGAAGTTATGCCTCCAGTAAAGTAGAATCTCAATGGTTAGGCTAGGCTATAATCACTGATACAATATGTCAGAAGGAAATATAAAAACTCATATTTGTCAAGCATGGATGTGGCTTATGTTCCTTAGTTAATACTTTTGGAGACGTCCCTAAATAATATAATTTAATGTGAAAGTAGGCAGCTTTTTAACTAGCTAGTGTATTAGCTAGCTAACGCTGTCTGCTTCTAACTTTCACCACTGCTCATTTAAAAAGGCCACCCCGTAGCTTATGTTCATTAGTTAATACTTTTGTAGACATCCCTATACAATATCATTTAATGTAAAAGTAGGCAGCTTTTCAACTAGCTAGCATGTTAGCTAGCGTGTTAGCTAGTGTGTTAGCTAGCTAACGCTGCCTGCTTCTAACTCTCACCACTGCTCATTTAAAAAGGCCACCCCGTAGCTTATGTTCCTTAGTTAATACTTTTGGAGATGTCCACAATGTTATTAATGTGAAAGTAGACAACTTTTCAACCAGCTCGCATGTTAGCCTACCTAGCGTGTTAGTTAGCATGTTGTGATGGTCCGACAAGCTGTCGGAGTAAGCATGGAGCCCACACTCCTGACGAAATCATATTTCTGGAAAACTGAAACAGTGATTCCAGAGAGAAGCAGACAGAGGGGTCTACAGTCTGTGTTTGAAGGATATATCCAGGATGTCAAACTGACTCAGCAGCAACAACAGGTTAAAAAGACAAAGATAGTTAGAAGCTAAAGCTGAACTACAGGTTACAGATCACAGTGTAAAAGTGAACCACCACATCACTCCTGATTAGGCTTGTGTTGGTTTGAAAATTTTCCAACCGGTTTGATTTAAAGCCAAATATCCAACCGAACCGATATATTGAATTATATACCTACTTTTACCACTGGGGGTCGCATTTGAGCTATTTTTCCCAATAAAAGCCCATTATAGGTGTAATGCGCTTCCAATCCACTAGGTGGCGATAATGCTGTATTAACCGCCAATACACACAAGGTTACACAAGAAGAAGCAGAAGAACATTTCTCTGGCAGCAGCAGCAGACAGCTGAGCGGAGCTGCGGAGTCCGCAGTCCGCAAGCCTCTGAGACAAACTAAACAAAACACTTATAGGCTCCTCCACTTCATTTCAAAACATACATAAACCTTATTAAGTTGTCATAATGCATGTTTAAATGCAAGATAAGTTGAATATAGTCCCTTGACACGCTGCTGGTTGAATATCAGCAAAGTTTCCCTGCTTCCCTTCACTGGTTCCTGTACATCAGGGTTGGTCTTTTTCTCACTGTTATAATCATTAAAAAGCAAAAACAGCATGTGTATACATTCAGTAGGCTATATCTTCAGTAGCTAGCTAGCTAACCCTACACTTTTCAGGGTTTGATTTTGGTTTTGGAACAGGGAAGATACTGTACGTATATCTTTTTCCAACCTCTCCAGGTAATGAGTATCATTAATACACAACGTGCCCCAGGCACAACATTTTGCTCCAAATCCACAAAACCAGCCTGAAAATGAAGGAAATCTGAAACGACTGCATTACACGTCGATCAGAAACCCATGACTATAAAAATAAGTCATTGTAATAGGTTGAGAAATGTATAGTTATAGTGCCTTTTATCCAGGAAAACACAGCTCCTCTATTTACTTGCATTTGCTTACAGGCAAATTCTGTTCTCTCCAATTTGGCAATGATGCTGGCGTACAATAAAGCAGCCAATGACACATCTATGTTTCTATATCTATGAGGAAGACACCAGTTTTAGAGAGAGACAAACACAAAAAAGAAACCCTATGAAAACCATGGCTTAAAAAATACAGCAAGTACAACAGTGATAAATATTTAAACATAATTAAAGGGTAAGCTCGGTAGATCTAATCTATATCTTATTATCCTCGTTCTTCTCTCTATAGTGAGAGGATAGATTGGGTGGGAAAGAGCAGAGGATTCATATAATTACAGTGAACTGTTGAAAAGGAGGTGAGGTGATGGAGGCGAGATTTGACAGTGTGGGGAGACTAATGCCCATTTTTTCAGCAGTTACAACAGACGTAACCCCCTGCAACCATCTCTGCAGGGTTAGCGGGGGTTAATAAAGCCGCACAGTGGATGAACACACAGTTAACAGAAGAAGAAAGAGGAGATAGATCTTACCCTCATATTGCCAGTCTGCAGTTTGAGACATCCCACCAGGACGGGGAGAAGAGGAGGAGGAAGGTAGCAGGAAGGAGAGAAAAATCATGAAAGATGAGAATTAGACTTCAGAGCAAGGCAAGAAAACAACCAGAGTCAAACATGAAAGGAAGTGGGTGTGAAGTTCTGAAAAACATGGGCAAATTAGAAATGTGCCGTGAGGTGTGCCTGTTTGCATGTACAGTACACAAATGTTGACGTGTCTATCTCTGTAAGCCTTTCCGGCTCCATTCACAGCTAGAATAGCCAGAATACGGAAAATACAACAACACCCACATTCACCAGACAGGGCAATATTATTGTACGACTCTCAAGGAGGTTTGTGAGGGAAAAAAAAAATCCCACAGAGAGGCTGGAAGACGGATATCTGCTCACCTAGAAAATAGACTTCATGGAGCAATGATCACACTTTCTCTCACTCTGTCTCCCTCCGTCTTCCCCTCCACGATTAAACATTACAACTGTGTGACATCATAGATTATCTCAGGATTCACTGGTATTGTGTCTTGTTTCTTGCTATGGGAGACAGTATTGAGTGTTCCCAAATATAGATTAAACTGTCTCAGGGATCCAAATTAGCTTATCTTATTAGCCAAAAATGATTGCTTTTCCAATTTGTTATGCTGAGAAGGAGGCAAAGGATGTTTTTTTAACTAACGGGCGTGCTGATTTAAAACTGACACTCAAACCAAGCCAAATGTTAGCTTGTGTAATTCACACCACACTACTGTGCTGACTGTAGAGGAAGTTTTTTAGGTGTATGACATGTCCAGGGGTAAATATGCTACAACACAATCTACGTTCATAGTTGTCATTGTTAGCTACTTGTTAGCTTGCACACAAATTAAGCATTTATTAGCAATTTAGCAGCTGTTCAAGATAGCATTCTTAGATATTATTTTGTCAGGAAGTATGACAAGTAAAGAAGTTCAAACTGCACAGTCTACAGTTACTGTGTACTACTGTCTTTAGCGTCCCTTTTGAATGCATACCCTAGAAACAGAAACAAATGCAAATGCTGTCCCTACTAACCTACTAACATTAGCAACCCCGGCCATGCTACATCATCACTATTGTGAAACAACCCTATCTCCCATGCAAAGTACTTTGATAGACTTCTAATTTGCTTTGCAAAATATACTTTGGATAAAACATAATTTCTCCAATGACAAAGTTTTTGTCTGATCTAGGAAGTGTGACAATCTTAGAGGCCTACTGCACTGAAGTCTTGTGCTGTGTGTACACTACGTGCGACACAGTAACAGGCTACCAAGCCTCTGACATAAAGCTACAAACTGAGGCCCGACACTTCTCACTATGGAGGGGCTTGATGCGCTACAAACCAAAGTTGAGGTGTCTTGAACTTTTTCGGTGCTCCAAAGATGCAGTGAAGTGTCAACCATCATAAGGTTTGTTTCTAGCTGTGGAACTGTGTTATTTAGCTTACTTAGCTGGCGATATGCTAGCTTAATGTGCACTGCGGTGCACACTAGTGTTGCACGGTATACCGGTACTAAAATAGTACCACGGTACTAGAGTATTCCAAACGGTACTATACTGCATTTGGAAAATACCGGTACTTTGAAATTTATTCAATTTATTCATTTAGTTAATTTATTTTACTCATTTATGCACACAAACACCTTCCTTGTTCCTATTGGAGCACAGATTGCACAAGTGGTGTGTATGACAACACCTGTATCAACATTTGCAGCTGGCGTACGTGAAAAAAGACAGGAGAAAGTCTGCCTCGCAAAGGGAGACAACATGAGACAACACAAACTTGGTGGAACATTTGAGTTACCAAACCGTGACGTCCGTACCGAGGTACCTACCGAACCATGATTTTTTGGTACCGTTACACCCCTACTATTTATTGTTCTAAAGGTTTGTATCCAAAAGGACTTTTCCTTAGGAAAAGTACCAAAAAGTATTGAAAAATATCGAAATTCATATTGGTATGGGTACCTAAACAAAGATTTTGGTATCGTGATAACACTAGTGCACACAGAGATGCAATTGATACATTTATGAAACGCATCAATATATTTTTGACAAAAGCAATAATGCACGTTGTTGCAATGTTGCTGTAATGCTGGGTTCACACTACACTACATTTTTATCCATTCTGGTAGTCACTATGTCAGATTAGGTTATTGTGCAGTCATAAAATAGTGCCATGACTTGGCCGACAGACATGACGGACTACATGTTGGTCCACAACCAGTCATCGCTGGTCATCTTTCATGACATGCGTGTGTCACTGGATTATTCTGGTACTATTACTCTGCTGTTTCATGCCATCATTTTTCCCTTTTTACTGTGTCGTGGTAAAATCCTGAGAAGAAACATCAAAAAGGCTGGGGTGTTGTTGACGTACAGTTGTCCACAGCAGCAGATCGCTCTGTGTTCCTACTGGTCAAAGTGACGGCTGTGGCAGGAGCAGTCGTGAACAACAAAAAGATAATCAAACATGCTAAACTTTCCGTTGGGATGTTGTGAGGCGTCCCAGACGTGGTGTCAGTTGTCGTCTACTGTGACACGCTACATGAAATGAAATTGGACGATGGATTATTGTGCACGACACTCGTTCATGATCCGAGTCGACACTGTACGATGCTGAGGTGTGCTATAATCGGGCTGATATCGTGTAGTGTGATCCCGACATAAGTGTGAACACAACATTAATGAGGATGTTTGGGTGAACAAAGCACAGGACTGCATCACCAAAGACTGAGATCCATGTTCAGTGTCATACATGTTGTAAGGTTTAGATTAATGATGGCTAGAATAGATTGTGGTCTAAGTTAAATATTAAAGGAATAGTTCAGCATTTGGGAAATACACTTGTCCACTATTTTGTGAGTGTGATGAGAAGGACAACGCAAACTAATGTAAGTAATGTCTTGCAGTTGGATCAATCCAGCCGTAATTCAGTGATCAAAACAAATTTTGGCCAGGGGCTTAAAGTGGTGGCACCTTGCTCGGACCACACCCATCCTCAAACTATGCCTTCATTTTGATCCCAACTACATAACTGTAAAGTTTCGTGACTGCTTCTTGCACAGTCGTGACACTACTGTGGTGCAAAATTTCTCCACAGACAGACAGACACACAGTATAATCACCTGGCAAAGTGCTAAAACTGCATCTATGGCAGGTCCTGTTACAATAGGTGTCTCTATGACCACATTTTGCCATCATGACACACACACACACACACACACACCAAGGTGAAAACAATACCAGCCTGGCTGGTAAAAACAACAATTTGTGGTTCCTGGTGAACAACAGGCGGGCACAGTGACCTCCCAGAGTCTTGTTGACACAGGGAGGTTGCCAGGCAACGAGCTGCATAGAAGTTCTGGGCTGACGGATAAAACTGTTGCTGTCAATAAACATAGTTACCCCATGTAGCTCTCTCTAAACCACAAATTACCTTTTTTAACATTACTATTTCTGTGCGAATAAACAAACATGAGGCAATGTGTTAATTAGTGAGATTTGGAGGTGTTGCTGGATGGATATTATTAACTTTGCAGACAGACAGACGGACTGTTTCCTCCTGGCCACAGCATGTATGCTATGCTAAGCTCCATATTTAACAAACAGTTGTGACAGTTGTGTTTATCAGCTCGTTTAACTCTTGAGAAGAACAGAAAACGTCTTTATGTAAAATCGCCCTCAAACCAACATAACTGTAAAGATGCTGTTAATGCTTAATTTGCCTGGATTGAATACTTTAGGGTCAATAAATGAATTATTTTGGCATGTTGCAGATACATTCCAGCATTATTTGCTCTACAAAACACATGAGCTGTGCATGATCACTAGTTTTTAAGAGACTGGGTTTTGCCTGCTGCTTATTTTTAAGGCTTAATGTTCATGCTGTACCTTTAGTTCCACCTTTCTGTGCAGGTTCCCCCGACCAACGTGAACCCTCATTAGCTTTCCAACCACAAACATGGCCTGATTGCATGTGCCTTACAGTACATCCACCATTCAAGGTCTCCGTGGTGGAGGTGGTGGTGAGCTTGAATTCTACCCCATCACCCTTTTGAAGCTTTTCTAAGGGAGTATCTCAGGTTAGCAATCGAGAAAGATGCATGAGCCATGGAACAATAGTCACTAGTTACATCACACTCTACCAGCTGGCCTGTGCATGTGTGTGTGTGTGTGTGTGTGTGAGAGAGAGAGTGTGTGTGTGCAGCAGATGACAGATGTGTATCCCCTGCTTGACTGCCTTTTTATCCTTCAGTGTAAGCTGATGCCCCTCATTTATTACTAACCAGCCATTTGTTGTCTATGGGGCATCTCTGTCTGTTTCCCTCCCCTGCTCTGTCTCTTCTCATCTACCTCCTTCTCTCTACCCATCAGTCTGCCCCCCCCCCCCCCCCCCCCCCCCCCCCCCCCCCCCCCCCCCCCCCCCTTAAATAATAAAAATTAAATGGGATGAAACAGCAAAGCAGTCTGGGTAGTAACTTAAAGTGACATATGAACAGGATGCCATTCCAAATTGAAATGAGCTTAATCTTTTTAAAATCCAAACACCCGGAACAGAAAGGTAATGCTCATTTAAAGTCCAATTTCTCTCCGTCTACGATCAATTTGAAGAAACTGTTGCCACTTCCTCCTGTTAAATCCTGATTAAAACAAATGCTTGCATGAATTTGCACAGAAGTGTAACCACGAAGATGGAATCAATTGCCAGGTATAATAAGCAGCTCCTTACTATAATTTCCTCCCCCTGTGCAAAACAGTTAAGTGAACTCAAGGTTGACAATCTTACTGTGGAGAATTACACAAGGGAGGGAATTCAGGATGATGAGTCAATTGCATAGAAATGCTAATTCCCCGCTCTCCTCTCACACAGGTCACAGGCACATTTCCTCACAAGTGTGCACTTGTTTGTACGAGGTATCCAGTAAACGGGCCCCTACAGCACAGTTAGCGTTCTCTTGTATGGCAGTACTTAT